GAGCCATAGGGGCTTCATGGATCCCCCCAGTGCGAGCGGGGATTTGTGCCCGGAGCCGCCAATTTCAGCCATGTGCGAAGTGCAAAAACAGGTGGAAAAAAGTGAAAGGGAACTGAAAAAAAAATAGGCTCTAAACGCAGATTTGCCCCGCGATAAAATCTTGCAGTTGAGGCTGTTTCCCCGCGCAGTTCACAGGCTCCAGGCGGGTGCCCAGGGGAGATTTTGGGGCTGGAAACAGAGATTTTGAGACTACCAAGGAGGGAAAACGCTTTGCTCTTTTAACCATTTTTCTTCCCCAGGTGGGTAGTGTGGTTAATTAAGCTGAGGCTGGGATTTGGCTGGGGAGGGAATGGGATCCAAGGAGAGGATGGAATTCGTGATTAACTCTGCAAGGGGAGGTTTGGGAATGCTGCTGTTGGAAACGGGGCTGAGAACCGGCACTTTCATTGCATCTCCTTCTGCCAGGGGAGCCCGAGGCACAGCTGTGCCGGGCTGGGATCATCTCATCCTTTGGGATTGATGGCAGCGGGATGGGGACATCCAGAGGGGTGCAAACCCCCACCCTGCACTGCTCGGGGGCGAAGGGACATGACTGGCACCGCTTGGCCCATCAGTGGTGGGGTCAGGGTGGATTTTGGGGTGCTCAGCCCCTTGTGGTAGGGCCAGGGTGGATTTTGGGGTGCCCAACCCCTCAGTAGTGGGCGGAGGGTTGTTTTCTCCGTCGGGAGGCAGTCCAGCTGGGTGGCAGGGCTGTGCCAGGGGGAAGGAAACGGCGGCAGCACGATAAGGGCCGGCTGCCAACCCTCGAGGTTTTCCTTGTTTTTCTGCTGGGCGATGAGATAAGAGCCGGGCACTGGCACAAGGTAATGCCCGGGGGCACGGCGCCGGGAGGGAGCCCGTCTGCAGCTGAAATCCAGGGAGGTGTCGCTTTCGGGTGCTCGCTGGGACCCGGCCGGGTGTTCCACGGAGTGCAGGGTTCACAGACAGGGTGTGGAGCAGGAGCGAGCTGGTAGTTTCGGGGTGAAAAGCCATTTTCCCTGCTCCCAGCCTTCCCCAGGTCCTCGGCACACCGGGGTTCCCTGGCAGGGGGCTGGGGGAGATCCCTCTGCCTTTTGAGGGGTGGAGGTGGATCCAGCTTTACTCCAGGCTGAAGGGGAGGTTGCACAACCCAGCCCCGGGGGAGAGCAAGGCGGGTTCGGGCTTTGCTCAGCTTTTGGCTCCAGCCCTCTTTGCTTTCCATAACCTTCCTCTGGCGTCTGTGTAGTGCTTTACTGCCCCGGAGCCATTCGGGATTTAGCTCCCCGGAGGAGGAGGTGGCTCTAGAGGGTGTGTAAACCTTCCTCATCCTCCTCTTCTTCCTCGACCCCGAGTCTCTGAGTGCTCCGTTTGCCAATCTCCCTGTGCAGATGTCGACCTACAAGCGGGCGACGCTGGACGATGAAGACCCCCTGGACTCCCTTGGTGACGGCGATGGATACCCCAACGGCTTCCAGGTAGGGCTTTGTGTGTCTTTTAGGGCGGGAAAAAAGTGGGATTTTTAGGTCCTGGCAAGCGGCAGAAGGGGTGCAGAAGGGTTTTCCACCTGGGACCTGTCTCCACGGGGTAAAGTCTGGTGTGGGCAGAGTCCTCTTGGCTCCTGCTGCCGCTGCCCTTTGCTCCTGGCACGGGGAGCCAGCAGGGCCATATCCCAGTTTTTCAACTCCCAGTTTTTCTGCCGGCCAAGCCCCTTCTCAGAGTGTGGCTGGGGTGAGCAATTATCGTGGCACTGGCAGTTTTGTCCTGGCACAAAAGGGGATTAGTTTAATTCCTCCCCAGGCAGCAGGAAAGCGGCTTAAAGAGGGCCAAGGGTGGCAAGAAAACCCCCCCCAGCTGCCAATGTGGGAAGGTTCGGGTCCGGAGCGATGTTCTCGGTGCTGGCCCCGCTCCCAGCCCCAGCACTTTCTAGAATGGTGGTTTCTGCCCCAAATGTGTTTTTACTTTTCCCGGCGGGGCCGTCTCCGCTCGCCGGCGCATTGGGATGTTTCCTGGGGATGTTTTTCGGCTGAGTGGGAGTATCCTGTCAAGGCACTTCCCGACGCAGCCCCCACCCCGTCCCAGTGCCGGCAGTGGGGACAGGGACACCCGGGGGGTTACGCCGTGCTCGAGGAGGGGTTCGGGGTGGCACAGGGCAGCAGGTGAACCCGCCGAAGCGCTCGTCCCGCTCCCTTTCCTGCCATTGTGCCGCCCTTCCTGCCCGGTTTCTGGAAGGCAGCTGCTGCCTTTCCCAGCCCGATCCCTTGCCGGGGCCGAATGAGTGCCGTGGGGTTGCAGGAAGCACGATGGGGGCTGCGTCGGTGGGTTTCTGTGCCGGCGGGGAGGCGACGCTGCGGTTCCCGCAGGTGAACTTCCGCCGGCTCGCGGGGCAGCCGCGGCTGCTGGGCCAGCGGACCGCGGCGAGAGGCAGCTGCTGGTGCTCGTGTGGGCTGCTGGCAGTGGTGCTGGTGGCATGTCCTCATGCCAGTAAGCGCAGGGATCCTGCCCCTGTCGGCAGGGCGGGTTGCTGGGGGCGTTCTCAGGATGGGATCTTTGGAGCAGGGTGGGATGGTCACCTGCGTGCCAAGTCCCCGGTCTTGGGAACCAGGCAGGATGTTCAGGTGTGGGGTGGGATCCTTGGGCTCAAGACTGAATGGTCACCTGCATCCCTTGCCCCAGAGGAGATGCTCAGATGCAGGATAGGGTGCTCCCTTTATCCTGGATCTTGATGCTTGAGTGCAGGATGGAATATTTGCCCTCATCCTTCACCCCAGGGTGGATGCTTGGGCACTGGGCGGGATCTTTGGGCACAGGATGAGATGCTTGCCCACATCCCTTGCCCTGGAATGGGATTATCAGGTAGGGTACTCGGGCATGGACTGGGGTGCTGGTCTGTATTGCTTGGCCTGGAGCGGGATGTTAAGGTAGAAGGTGGGATGCTCGGGCACCAGGTGGGATATGTGCCCACATCCTTCAGCGTGGGGCAGGATGCTCCATGGGGCAGCTCATGGCGCTGTGGTGGAGGAGCTGAACCCTTCCCTGCTGCCCCCAGGGCCACCCGCCGTGTGCCTGTCGGAGTCCTGCATCTCCGTCACCAGCTCCATCCTCAGCTCGCTGGACCGGGCGGTGAATCCCTGCGAGGACTTTTTCAGCTACGCCTGCGGGGGCTGGATCAAGGCCAACCCCCTCCCCGATGGCCACTCGCGCTGGGGCACCTTCAACAACCTCTGGGAGCACAACCAGGCCATCATGAAGCACCTGCTGGGTGAGTGCAGGGGAGCAGTGGGACCCTGTTAGGCCCCGGGGATGCCAAAAACATGTCCGTGGGGATATGGGGTTGGAATTGAACTCCAGCGTCAAACCAATCCGTGACACGCGTGTTGTGAGGACGTTGGGAAAAAGGCTGTGTTTGCTCTCCTGGACGCTCCTGGGATTTTTGACTGTGGTGTTGCTGCTCTTTGGTGCCGAGTAGGGAAAAGGTTCCTGGCCTCTGCTCTGCAGGCCTCACAGCAGCATTCCCAGGAGCTCTGAAATTCAGGATTTGCACTCCAGAGCCTGCAATATCACCCAAAGTGGGTTTTTCCTGCTCCTATACCTTCCAGCCTTTGTGAGCAGCCTTTTTGGAGGTCTGGCTGCCAATACAGCCATTTTTTGGGGGGCCAAAGCTCCCCCAGCAAAGGGAGGATCCTGGGTTCAGCCTCTGCGTGCGAACAGCGAAGCGGAGCCGCTTATCCGAGCAACCGGCAGGGACGGTTTGTTCAGGCTTTGAGCAAACAACTGGCTCCTTATCAGCACTTTCCACTGCGCCAGGGCTGATTATCTGGAAAGAGAAGGTTTGGGAAGAGTGTTGTCTTTTGGGAGAAGGGGGGTGGCGCGGGAACGGCTTCGTCCCTGGCTCTTCCTGCAGAAATCTGGCGCTGGTTTCACCAGGAGAAGGGACTGGGCCTCCAGCCAAGTGGTCGCGTTCGGCATTTCCTTGAATTCCTTGGAGCTGAGGGACCTTTAGTTAATAAAACCACACAGCTGGGAAGCCAAAGGTGCAAGCTGTGTCATCAGGAAAATAAATAAAAAACCTAAAAAAACCTCCCAGGGGAGGCAGTATTTTAGCAGAGGGGGAGATAAAAGGTTGGTTTTGGAGGCAGAGAAGAATAATGGGTTTATTGTTCCTTTTTACAGGAGTAAATAATAAAGAGCTGGGGGGCAGCAGCACAGAGGCAAGGGCAGCACAGGGGGCTGGATGATGCTGGGAATATCAGAGCTGCTGGAAAAATGCTTTTTGTTTTTTCTTTCTTTATCTTTCGTTCCCAAAGAGCTGGAGCCGTCGCTGCGGGTGGGAAAGGAGAGGGGGGCAGGAGGCCAGGAAGGGCTGGGGCCATGGGATGCTCTCAGGGGCACAGAGGGGCCTATTGGGGCAATCCTTGGCGCCGGTTTGGAGCCTGGCTTTGCTCAAAATGGGGCTGAATATTCCCATGGTGCAAGGGAGGGGGTGCTCCAGTGTAATCAGCAGCCCCCATGTGTGTTGGATGCCTATCCCTGGGGACCTCCTGTGATTCCCCCTGGGGACTGTCCACAGAAAACACCACAGCCAACGTGTCGAGCGAGGCGGAGCGCAAGGCACAGCGCTATTACCAGGCCTGCATGAACGAGAGCAAGATTGAGGAGCTGCGTGCCACCCCGCTCGTGGAGCTCATCCAAAAGGTCTGTCCTGCTCCTCGTGGAAAAGCCATCTTCTGTCTGCAGAATGGGGGGAGAAGATCAGATAAGGGCAATTCCAGCACCCTCCAGACTCCATTCCCGGTGCTTCCTGGGGAACAGCAACCCCCAGGGCAGGCAGGCCAAGAGAGATTTATTAGGGATTTATAATCTTATAATTTATCAGATTTATAATCCTATAATGGGGCTTTTTAGCCCCCTTGCAAGATGTTTCCCCCCAGGATGGGTATTGGGGATATCGAAGGAATTCCAGGTGGTTGTTCCTTACCCAAAAGCTGGTTGCTGTCTGTCCCCAGCTGGGTGGCTGGAACATCACAGGAACCTGGGCCGGTGGCAACTTCAACGAGACGCTGCGGGAGGTGACGGCGCATTACCGCACCTCGCCCTTCTTCTCCGTCTACGTCAGCGCCGACTCCAAGAACTCCAACAGCAACGTCATCCAGGTGGATCAGTCGGGGCTGGGCCTGCCGTCGCGGGATTACTACCTGAACAAGACAGAGAATGAGAAGGTGGAGGTGTCGGGGGGATGTGGGTTGGCTGGGGAGGTGCTGTGGGTGGGTGGGTGGGTGGCACTGCCCTGCTGATCCCACCTGCCCTGCTGATCCCACCGGCGCTGATCCCACCTGGTGCTGATCCCACCTAGGTGCTCGCCGGGTACCTGAACTACATGGTGCAGCTGGGGATGTTCCTGGGAGGCACCGATGAGGAGTCGACACGCCAGCAGATGCAGCAGATCCTGGACTTTGAGACAGCATTGGCCAACATCACCATCCCCCAGGAGAAGCACCGGGACGAGGAGCTCATCTACCATAAAATGACAGCTGGAGACCTAAAGGTAGAGATGGAGCTGGCAAGGCTCTCCGTTCTGCCATGGTTTGGGAAGTGGGATGCATGGGTGGAGGTGACACAGCTCCTCTGGGAAGCCTGACGCCAGGCAGCACCGCCTGGGAGGCTCTTGTGCAACAGCTTGGCCCATGTCCTCCTTGGGGAAATCCCACCCAGCCTCTGGACCACCCCCGGGGCCGGCGGCCGTCCCGCTGCGGCGCTCACGCCCGGCCGGCCCTGCTGCGCCTGGACGTCAGCCCGGTCACCTCCCCGCGGCCCCACAGGGGTTGTGTCAACAGTTCTGACACCCGCCCCACTTTCTTTTCCTTTGTGGGAGGAAATTGTTTACTACCCTCCGACCTTTCGAGGATGCTGCTGGCATGGGAACTGGCCTCTGCAAAATCAGCTGGGTCCATCAAATGGGGACTGATGCAGCCGATTCCAGCTTGGGAAGGAGCTGCCACCCCGCTCGATGGTGTTTGGGTCTGTAGCAGCACTGTGGCTTTTGCAGGAGCTGGCACCGGCCGTGGACTGGATGCCTTTCCTCTCCACGGTCTTCTACCCCGTGGAGCTCAATGAGTCGGAGCCCGTCGTGGTCTACGCCAAGGAGTACCTGGAGCAGGTGTCTGACCTCATCCTGGCCACAGATAAGTGGTGAGAGCCCCCCGCCCGCACAGAGGGTGCCCAGGGTGGGCAGGCACGTCTCGCTGCACACTCACCACCTCTCGCCACAGTCTCCTCAACAACTATATGATCTGGAACCTGGTGCGGAAAACCAGCCCCTTCCTTGACCAGCGCTTCCAAGATGCCGAGGAAAAATTCATGGAAGTGATGTATGGGACGAAAAAGGTGAGGGCGGAGCCCCTAACAGCCCTGATTCACCATGAAAATGGTGATGGGTTTTTATGTCAAGCCCCCTTTCGTGTGGCACCCAGACAATAAAGATGTGGGGTGGGTTTTGGGGTGGCAGGGGATGGATGGAGACCTCCTCTCCTGGTGGGGTACGAGGGTGGGAAGGAGCAGGGCTTCGGCCCTTGAGTGACTGACCACCTCTTGTCCCACGCAGACCTGCCTCCCACGCTGGAAGTTTTGCATCAGTGACACGGACAACAACCTGGGCTTCGCCCTGGGGGCCATGTTCGTCAAGGCCACCTTTGCCGAGGACAGCAAGCAGGTGGTACGTCCCCGAGCCGGCAGCGTGCGAGTCCCAGTGCCGGGGAAGCCACCGCAGTGGTGGAGCCGTCCAGGCAGCCCATGTTTGTCTCCATGTGCCGGGTTTTTCACTGGCCCAAATGCTGTGTTGGCGGCCCAGCCTCTTCCTGCCCACTCGTGTGGAGGTCCTTGACCTCTCCGGAGTGGGAAGCTGGCTCTCTGGCCCGACGCTGTGCTGCCTTGTTTTGTCTAGGCAGAGGAAATGATTGCAGAGATTAAAACCGCCTTCGAGGAAAGCCTGGAGACCCTGCAGTGGATGGATGAAGAGACGAGGAAATCGGCCAAAGAGAAGGTGAGGTGCTGGCAGCAGTGCTGGGTGGGGGTGAGGATGGAGGGAGGTGGAGCTGGGTGAGCCTGTCCCTCCACCCCCGGCGCTAAAAGCACTCTGGTCCTTGTCACCCCCCAGGCAGATGCCATCTACAACATGATTGGCTACCCCAAGTTCATCATGGACCCCAAGGAGCTGGATAAAGTCTTTAATGACGTGAGTTGGTTGGGTATGTCCCCTGGGTCTTCTATAGGATGTACAGGACATGCTCATCACCGTGGCCTCTGGGCAGCCTTGAACCCCAGGTTTCCTCCAGAAGGGTCTCACTGATGTCCTTGGCCCTTCTCTGGGGACTTCCCAGAGAGCTGTGTGCCGGTCCTGGGGTGGGCTGGGACTCTCAGGATCCCTGCCTAGGAAAAGGAGGGGTCATTTTCCGTAACAGTGATTCATTGCCCTCCAGAGACTCTGCAGATGTTGGAGAGGAGGAGAAACAAGAGCAGCCGTAACTCAGGCGGCTCCGGAGGCTCAGACGTGACCGTGGAGGGAGGAGCGGGGCTGGGCAATCCCCACACACCACTCATGCCTTGTTCTTTTGCAGTACGAGGCCGTGTCTGACCTCTACTTCGAGAACGTCATGCAGTTTTACAACTTCTCGGCCAGGGTCACGGCCGACCAGCTCCGGAAACCACCGAACCGGGACCAGTAAGTCCTCTGCTCCACTTCCCCGGTGTGCTCAGCGGGGAATATCGGGATATCTGGAGCCACTGGGGTTTGGTGTCCACCAGCTGGTTTTGGGCAGTGAGACTTGGGCCGATGCAGTGTGGTGAGTGGGTGTTGTTGGAGCCGTGTTGGTGTCCCTGCAGGTGGAGCATGACACCTCCGACAGTCAACGCGTACTACTCTCCCACCAAGAACGAGATCGTCTTCCCCGCCGGCATCCTTCAGGCCCCCTTTTACACCCGTGCATCCCCCAAGTAAGAGCCCAGGGAAAACACAGAGGGCAGGATTCACAAATTTCCTCCTGTACCCAAATTTCACGGCTGTGGAGAGCAGTGGCTGCTCTCTAAGTCTCTACCCTTCTGCAGGTCCCTGAATTTTGGTGGGATCGGCGTGGTGGTTGGCCATGAGCTGACACATGCCTTTGATGACCAAGGTATGGCCAGGGCCAGGCAGGTGGGCAGCTGGAGGAGTGGCCGGTGTGGTGATGAAGGATCCCGCTGTGTTTTCGGCAGGCCGGGAATACGACAAGGACGGCAACCTGCGTCCCTGGTGGAAGAACTCCTCGGTGGAGGCCTTCAAGCGTCAGACAGCGTGCATGGTGGAGCAGTACAGCAACTACACCGTCAACGGCGAGGCCGTCAACGGCAAGCACACCCTCGGGGAGAACATCGCCGACAACGGGGGCCTCAAGGCCGCCTACCGGGTAGGGCTGCAGCACTGGGGACGTGTGGTGGGGGACATGGCGTGGTGGGACCGATGTCCCCTGAGCCCGCTGTTCTCCCTGGCCTACAGGCATATCAAAACTGGCTGAGAAAGAACGGGGATGAGGAAACCCTCCCAACCCTCGGCCTCACCAACCACCAGCTCTTCTTTGTTGGCTTCGCGCAGGTGGGTCATGTGATGGGTGGGGAGGGTGGGCACACAGATTTTTGGGGGTGGTGTGTGCCCAGATGGGGGTGGGAAGGTGTGGTGGCAAAATTGAGGCCTCCGGAGATGTAGTGGATGGTGAACCAGATCGAGGCGGTGCTGGTTACAGAGCGAGACAAAGCTGGCACTTGAGCCACGTTGGTGCCCGTCATGCGGGTGGGGAGGTCAGGTTCGGGCCCCGTGGCGGTTGGGGGTGTCAGCACTCAGGCCCCTCACCCTCGTTCGCAGGTGTGGTGCTCGGTTCGCACGCCAGAGAGCTCTCACGAGGGGCTCATCACCGACCCCCACAGCCCCTCGCGCTTCCGCGTCATCGGCACCGTCTCCAACTCACGGGAGTTCGCGGAGCACTTCGGCTGCCCCGTGGGCTCCCCCATGAACCCCCCCAAGAAGTGCGAGGTCTGGTGAAGGGCGAGCGCCCCAGCGGGAGCCAGCGGCCGGTTGTTCCATCCTCTGCTGGATTTCCCCTGTCCTGTGAGGGTCAAACCACTTCTCTGCACCAGGGAGAGCCCGGCTCAGCCAGAGCTGCCCCGGTATTGTCCGAGGTTCGGTCCACTGTGAAAACTCCTCATCCCCTCGCTCGTTGGTGAAATGACTTTGGTTTGGGGGGGGTCTCTTCTTTCCCACCACGTCCATGGGCACTGCCCTGAACCACCACCCCAGCAAAATCCCTCTTTTTTTGGAGGGTATAAAGGGAACCCCCGGCACCGGCAGGTTTGTCTGCGTGTCTTAGTACAGCCAACGTACCTTCCTCTCTCCAAAGATGCGCACACAAGGATGGGAAATATTTTAAGATATATTTTTTGGGGGGGAGGGGAAATATATATATTTTTTTTCATGCATTGTGGAATACACTGGAAGATTTCAGGGAAAATGCATTTAAAAGCCGCCTTTTTAGTAAAAGATTAGTATATTTATTAATTTTTTTTACTTAGTGCAGCTGTAGATGCAGCACCCTGTGGTGACAGTCCCTTGGCCAGGGAAGCTGGGTGGGGCCGTGGATCTAACTTTCCAGCCTTGGATCCTGCTTCTCCAGGAAGGACTGTCCTCAGAGGATGCTTACGGGAAAATTGGGGACAGCAGGCCCAGGGACAGGGCTGGAGGATGCTGCAAGTCACAGGCTGTGCCGGGATGCTCCTGGGATTAGCTTTAATTTGGGAGTGCAAAGGGAAAAGTTGACATGCCAAAGATGTCCCCAAGGTGGTGACGGTGTGGATGAAGCATCCGGCTCTCCCTCCTGTCCCCTCTGAAGCGAGGCCAGCCAGGATTTCCTGGCCCAAAAGCTTCCCCAGACAAGTGCAGGCAGTTCCTGCCGCTGCTCCGCTCGCCGCCGTGCCTGCACCCTCTGTGCCCGGGAATCTGCAAGCCCCCAAATCACCACAAACCCCAAAACTCCGTCCCTCCAGAGCTGGTTTGGCATCTGCATGAGATCCAACCGGGATGGGGGTGAGGGGCTGTTTAAGGGATGTTTTTAATACTCATTTTGAGAGGAAAGCACTGATGGGAGCTCAGGTGCTGCGTGTTGTCACCTTCTTGCTCTGGACAGAAAGCACAGAGGGATTTTTAATATTTATATGTAAAGGGAGGGATGGGAGGGGCTGTTTTTTGTAATTATTTTTTCACCCTATGCGTGGGGCTTATTGTAATTGAAATAATAAATACTTTTTACTGGATCTGGAGCTGCTCACGACTTGTTTTTCCAATACCAGAAGCATTTGCATCCCTTTATCTGTGCTTTTCTCCCTGTCCACACCTCTGAGACTGTCCTGTGCTGACAAAACTGAGCCGAGGAGGCTTTTCCCAGCCTACTGCCTCTCTCGGAGGCTAAATCCAGGCCTTTGTGCCCAGAAACCCCACTCTCACTGCGTGTGGCTGTTTGCTTTCCCCTTCTATGGCCTGGCCCCACGCAGCTCCCCAGCAGGGAGGTCTTTCCTGGATGCTTTTCCTTCCTCCCAGGCGAGTTTTTGGCCGGCCGGGCTGTGCTGGGATCCAGTGGCACAGGTTGCTCTCCAAGCTCCCTTATTTATAGCTCGGTGATGCTGTGGGATGCTGCCAGCTCCAGAACCCAGGCCAGCATTCCTCCTGAGCGGATGCTCCACGGCTTTGCCAGGCTTGCCCAGAAAATGCAGGGCAGGACCTGGACCGCAGGCTCCACACGAGCCTCAGCCCGGCACCTGGGAGGGCTGGTGGCCATAAAACAAGCCAAGTGCTGGGTGTTCCTTTGCTGCTGAGCCCTGGGATTCTTATCTGGGGCAAAACCAGGGGGCTGCAGCCCGTTGGCAGCAAACATTTGGGAATAAAGAGTGTTTCTGCTGCTGGGATGAGCAGGGCTGAGCCAGCAGCAGGCCAGGGACGCGGGTGTTGTGTAAGTAAGATATTAAAATATCCTCCTGACTGTTTTTACCATGCTTCCTCACCCAGATAGAGTGGAAATGTAGCAATAGTGGTGACTCTCTGCTCACAGGACTCGGTGTGAGGCCCTGGGTTTCCTGCAGAGCTGGAGCCCGGCCGTGGCTGTTGTTTTCCCTGGGATCTGCCTGGAAATGGCGCAAACCCGCAGAGGGCGGTGGAGCCGAGAAAATCGCTGCCTGCACGTTCCAGTGCTGGGCTGGCAGGAGTCAGCAAGGCTGCCATGTGGTCTGGATGTGGCCCCAGGTGTTTCAAATGTGGTGGAATACCTGCATTCCTAGGGAAAGAGAGGAGCAGCGTGGGTGTACAGCAAAGAGGAATGAAGTGAGGAGAGCGGGGCTGGGGTGAGAGGGTGTTTTCCCAGCTGCCAGCAGCAGAGAAGAGAGCACAGCCCATCGTGGGATGCTGTTAGAAGTGGTTTACCCACCCCAAAGGGAAATATTTTTGGCTCTCTGGGGCTTACTCACGGGGAGGGACCAAGCGGGTCATGTGTTGGGGACAGCCCCAGGATCAAGGCTCCCTGGGAGCCGGCAGTGGGATTTTGCCTCCCTGTGAGGCTGCCGGGTGTAGAGAGAGAGACAGAGGGGGCAGGAGGTGAATCATCCCGTTCATGTGCCAGGGCCTGGCATGGGCTTGCCTGGTCCTGGGTGGTATTTGATCTATTTTGTGTTCAGCCGTACACTGGAGGGCCAAGACTTTTGCTGAGGGCTGAGCCCGGGCAGGAGGAGGGATGGGGAGAGCTCCAAGCTGAGCCCGGGCAGGAGGAGGGGTGGGGAGAGCTCCAAGCAGGACTCTTTTTTTTTTTTTTTAATTTTGTCAGGAGGGTGTTGGAAGGAAATCAGTGGGGGAAAAGCAGGAGAAGCCCAAAGAGGAAGGCTCTGCTGCACCATGTTGGGTGAAAGCAGGAGCCTGGAGTGGGATGGAGGCCCCAGAATGAGCTGGAAATGGCGGCTCTTCATAGGTTTGGTGGGGCTGAGACAGCCTGCAAGGTTGTGTTCAGCCTCTCACAACCACCTGAACTGCTCTTTCCATTCCCAGTTTGTCCCCTCCAGGTTAGGCTCTAACCCCTGACACACCACAACAGTGCTGAGGTCACCCACTGGGACCACGAGATTTTAGGGCCAAAAGCTCCCCTGAACAGGCCACACATTCCTGGAGGGAGGAGGACAGGGAGCGGGAGGTGAGGGGCAGGTTTCTAAATCCCAGTTTGGAGCTGCTCATGCCCATCCCTGGGGTGGTTTTCACTCGGAGCCAAGCAGGGACAAGGCTGTGTGTCCTCACTCACTCTCAGGACCACAGTTTTGTGCTTTTATGTTTTCCTCTTCACAAGGATTCCTGCAGGAAAACAGCCATTTTCCAGTGATACCCCAATCCTGTATTGTCCTAAGTTCACCAACAGCTCCAGTGTTCCCACTACACTTTGTGCTGCGAGGTTGTGTCTCTGCTGTGGCAGGTACATGAGGGACTGGTGGCACTGGGAAAGGGACTGGTGGGACTGGGAAAAGGACTGGTGGTGCTCCAAAACAGGAGCTCAGCACTGCAGACTCCAGCTGCCCATGGTGACACACCAGTTCCCAGGTGCTGATAAAGCTAGCAGGAAAAAGAGAAGGAAAAACAAAATGGAGAGACAGGAGGAAGGGTGTGAATCCAGCTGGCACTCACTCCAGCTCACCAAATCTGCGGGGTTTGTTGGCCAAGTCATCCTATGTGAGGTAGGAGAGACATGTCTGCCTTTTCTGCTCAGGGAAAAATTAAAAAGAAGGGAAAAATACGGTTGTGGAGAGACACTGACTGTGGAAGAGCTTTAAGGCAGAGCTGGGAGCCTGGCTCCTTCACATGACCAGCAGGTTTTTGGAGCTTCAGCTGATAATATGGTGAAAATGCAATTTTCCCCCTTCTAAGCAGGCAAAAAGTGTTCCATCCAAAGATCCTGGAGCTGAGGCTCTTTCACAGCTGTGTTTACAGGCACTATTTCTGCAGAACAGAGGGAGCCGGAGATGCCAATTTGCTTTTGGGATGAATTTCCTTCCGCATGAAGAGCTGTATCCAGAAAGGGGAGGTGGTCGATGGAACAGAACCGGCCCCCCCAGACCACACAGATTTCACAGAATATTCTGGGTTGTGAGGGACCCACAGAGATCATTGAGTCCAGCTTTCAAGCAAATAACTCATACAGGGACACACAGCTCTACTTGCACCCTCAAAATAATCAGTCTTTAAGAGCTGTGGATGGAGAATTGTCCTCCCAGCAGCAGAGGTGGAGATCTATCAGCCCTTGGGCAAATCCTATACAATGAGAGAAGTTCCTCCTTTGTTATTTCAATTTTTGGGAGTGGAGGAGTACTTGGCCTTTCTTTGAAGTCATTCCTCTGTTCTCCAGTTTTCCTGCTGGGGAATCAGCTGAACTGGCTGAAGGCTGCAGAGAAAAACTGGCTCAGGAAAAAACACCCAGAGCCCCCTCTAAATATCTGTTCCTGGGTTCAGGTGGAAATATTCCCCATTTAGGACTTGTTTACAGGCTGGCAGGGCTTCGATGGGCTTTTTCCCCTCAAAGAAAGCTCATTGTTTCCTATTTTCCCCTATTTCCCACAGGCAGTGTGAAGTAGGTGTGATCTCACCTCCTGTCAGGTATTTCCCTAACCCCAGAAGGGAGAACAAAGAGTGGAACAAAGAGCCCAGAAAGGGACACTAAACAACACATTAGTCACCTTCCCCTGCCCCACTAATCCCTGCTGGCATTTCACTGAGTGGTTGTACCCTGCAGGTTGCACCTGAGTCAGTAAGAAACTATTCCAGTCCCAGGGCTGATTTTACTGGAGACCAGCCTGGCAACTCCCAGCTTTCCTTCTTCAATCACACCTTGGAAGACAGGAAAGCCTCTGTATACACAGCAACCCTCGTGTGTCCTAAATCTGACCTGCACAACCCAATAACTCAGAGTTATTGAACTCAGAGTCTGACTCCAAAGGGAAAAGGTACTCAAGACCCTCCTACTATTTTTTGCCCATTGTGCTGAGTTTTGCTGTAGTGAACAACACCCAGTCCAGATTCTCCACTTTGAGATTTGTATTTAAAACTCAAATTTACTTTCCTGCTTACAACAGGACCCTTGTATAGACAGGGATAGATGTGTCTCCTTGGGTGGGTTTTCTTTAGTGCACAAGGCCTTTGTCTCTATTCTCCCAGCTTGCAGATGCAGCACTCTCCAAGTGCCTGAATACACCCCCACGGGAGCTGTTCACTTCAATAAAAGAAGCTTTTCACAGTTAAGAGTTTATTTGTGATTGCTCTAAAATATTATCTTCCTCCTAAACTTGCAGCTGCCCAGAAAAGGCAGCCGACAGAATGCAAATAAACTCTGGAAAGCTTTCCTGGAGCAGCACCCGGGGTTGGGTGACTGGGACAGCAACGCCTGCGGGCACAGCAAAGGTGCTGGAAGTGCTTCTCTGGGACGTGCAGCGTGGCAGGAATGGTGGAAGGTGCCAGCGGGCTGGAATGAGCCCTCGGGAGCCAGCGGCAAGGCAGGACAAGTCAGGACAATCCGCTGGAATCTGCTCTGAGGTGCTTTTCCTCTCCCTGAGATGGCACAAACCGCCTTGGCTGCCGCCGGGCTCACGGGTGGCCGTGAGGAGGGTGCTGCAGCCCCCTCACGTGTGAGATGGTGTGAGATGGTGAAGGCAGTGGTGCTGTGGCAGCCCTCGGTGGGGTGATGGCTCGGTGTGACCACGGGGCGAGCTGGACACCTGTCCCCACAAGGGCGGGTCC